CGATGAGAATATGCCTGTTTTCAAACTGGTTCAGTATCAGTTTTTTTTTTAAGAACACAAAGTTTTGAATTGCTAAAGAACATATTGTTGCACTCTTTCAGGCCAAACATGTATTCTTCCACTCAGCTTCAAACACCAGTCAGAGATCAAAATTCATGCTCAATAATCCAGGTAAAAAATCCAACCAAGTCAAAGTCAGAGTCACCTGTCGGAGACATTCTCACCATTAAAAATAACAGCAAAGCTGTACCTCCCTTGTCATAAACATCCTGACAGTTCGTCTCTAGACAGAGGGTTGCAAGACTCAGGTGACTGTTAATATTTATGTAGGGAAATTTTTGTAGAAAAAAGTTTCCATAAAAAAAATTTTATATTTACTTTTGTAATTGTTATTTTGCACTAGGTATTGCACATACATAAACATGTGAGGTTCTGTTGGTGGAGAGGGAGGGCACAGTTTTTAATTTAGGCAACGGCTAGTGGGTTGCAGGGGATAAAGGTGTTAATCTCTGATGTAGCATATATCGTTAATGAAATAACTGGGGAATAAATGGAGTATTTGATTACTAAAGTATTTGATGGCTACATTCTTAGCTGAACTATGAAAACCGAATGGTGCACATCATGACCTTATACATTGTTTAATCTCCAATTTTACTTTTGACCAGCAACAAAAGGTACATGACGAATGGAAATGATTTTAAGTTTGAATATTTTGCTATGGTTTTATCGGAGCACTGATTTGCGTATGGGTTCCCAAACATTTCCTGTGGATAAATGAGCTCCCAGGTTTCTTCCTAAATAAGGGAACAGAGAGGGCTCATACTTTTGGGTGCATATCTGTGCCAAATGGTATGGAACTAATCTCCACTGAGTTATTTCTCATTAAAGATGGGCCTCTGGAAGGTACTTTGGTGCGCAGACTGCGGACAGCGACAGGGAAGGAACTGTCTGTTCCAGCAGATGGGCTTCATTTAGTGTTGGGCAGGAATAACCTTCTGACAGTTTTATTGCAGCCCAAACTACATGGATAAGTAAAGACGCACCAGCTCTTTGAGCAAATTGCAGCAGAGCTGTGCATGGAGGAATTTGTCTGCCCCATTGTCGCTGATTGACATACACACTCTGACAGACTCACACACAACACATCACTGGGATTAGGTTGAACCCAAAGGCAACGCAGATGCTGATTCATGTGCTGGGCAGAACTATCACGAACTGCTCAGCAACGTCGGGTATAATTCATTTGCTGACTGATTAATGGTCAGTGTCTGTGTGGAGGCGCAGTTGCCACTTTCAGAAGAAAACAAGCACTCTGATTTAAGTTGGGGTTAAGAAGAACCAAAAATTAAGTTTGTTTTGTAAAGGTGTGATGATTAAACCATTATTAGTTCTTGTTCCACTTCAGTGATCAGAGAGTTTGTCTCGTTAGGGACCCCCTAATCCAAACTTAGACTCACCTTCCTGTGGTTCAGAGCGATTAATGTCTTGACCTGCAGGAGAGAGTCTAAGCTGTGATACCCACCATATTTTCAGCCGTACACGTCACATCAGTCCATATTTTTCTAAAAAAGTCGAAAAATCCATAAATATGTTGCTTCACCGTATATGTCACATCTATTATGAGTCAATGCTGACGCGTCGTGTTTGATATGCATCACCACTGACAACTCGGAAATGTGGGCCGAACCCAGAAATGTGGGCCGATGTGCCAAAAATCGATGGGCTGCCAAATGGCAGCTGCGGGAGCATGCACGGGAGGACTTTAACAAGAATTTAACAATTAACACTTAAAAACAATTATTTGTTCGCTCGAAATTATAGTAAAGATGTGTCTCAGTCTAACATTTGCTTAATAAATGCACTTTGACGGTCAAATCAGCTGCATTTCAAAAGCCGATACGTGGAAGTAAACGAGTCGCTGTGCAAATTTAACAAGAAAACCACCTAAAAACAATTATTTGTTTGTTTGAAATTATAGCAAAGATGTGTCTCAGTTGAACTATTCCTTAAAAAATGCACTTTAATGGTCAAATCAGCTGAATTTCAAAAATAGTTTTGCTGCTGAGGTGCTCCGGGAGCATGCAGAGGGAGGAAAAAATAAAAGGAGGAACGCTGCTCGTTTCTTAGAAATTTAACAAGAAAAGCACCTAAAACAATTATTTGTTTGCTCGAAATTATAGCAAAGGTGTGTCTCAGTCTAACGTTTGCTTAATAAATGCACTTTAACTTTCAAATTAGCTGCATTTCTCCGGGGCGGTGCAGTTGGTTTAACGTGCTCCAAGCAATGAGCAGAATGAAGATGGGGGGAATTTGGCAAGCCAATTGTGTCATTAATAGCTGGTGAAGATTCTCAATCATCCAGGACATGTTAAGTTCAAAAAAGTTCAATTAAAAAACAACTATTAAGTATAAAGTAAAGTATAATAAATAAAGTCCAGTTGTTTTTGTTTTGAACTTTTTTGAATTTGTCATTATAGCCACGTTTGCCTATTACATGATACAACGGCATGCCTTACTGCTACTACTACTCTGCTGCCATGCAGTGGCTGAAAATGGTACAGTTCCATATTTCCTGTGTTGAGCAGATAGGCATGAATGAATACAGCAGCAGCCAAAAATTTGTTTATAAATATGAGAAGAAATCCATGAATATGTTGCTTCAGCCTATAAGTTGCAGGGCATGTAAATTAGGCAAAAAAAATACTTATAGGCCGAAAAATATGGTATTTATGAAATAAACTGCAGATCTAAAGCTGAACTAAAGTAACTTGAACTCGCAGATGAATTTCAACATTTAATTTTAATTGCACTTTACAGCCTGAGTGCAATGTTTTAAACAGTTAATGTCTGTTTTGTTCATGGACATCAATACAGGTATAAATGTCCTTACAGTATTAGTGAAAGTGGCATAAAGGAGTTAATAAAAAAGAGAAGCAGCTACTGAGTTATGTTGAATTTGAGAGAACGTGTGAAATATACGAGACAACCCTGGATTGCAACAGCAAAGCCCCCAAATTGAAGAGCCCCAGTCGGACTTCCTTCCTGTTGTTTATAAAGACATAAATCACCAACATCACACTGTTTCCTTTCATAATACTTCTTGACATGAAAAAAATGTATTTCTCATGGATGCTACTGCCAGTGACGCTCTTCAACTTTTCCATAAAAGACCAGTACTCCTCTACCCATCAGGATTTTGAGCCATGTACTGCACTGAAAGCAGAAAATATAAACTCTCTGCTTTACTCATGACAAATAATATAAATTAGAAACGAGACGTAATCGTGAGGTAAGAAACTCTGTGGTGTAAGGTTTAAATTTGCAACATTATTTGAAGGAAATCCTTCAATCCTTTATGGCCTGACATTTTTTAGTACATCTTTATGTCCAATGTCCTGTCAATTGTTAAAAGTGAGAAACACACATTTCTTTTTTCATTGAATTTACCAATTTACCGGCGTATAAGTTGCATCAGTCAAAAAAAGCAGCATGAAGAGGAAAAAATAAATTAATAAGTCACATTTATTTAATGGTCAAAACAGATTTATTTCGCCTGGGCAGCGCAGCGCCATCCATCCATCCATCCATTCATCCATCAATCGCGCCGGAGCTGGTTGCTCTCCAGCGTTCCTCCGCCTGCACCAGCTGAGTGAAGCAAGCGCGCACATGAGGACTGGCTGTTGCAGTTCTTTGAAATGTAAAGCGTCAGTCAAAAATTGCATTATGAATATGAAAAAAAAAACATATATAAGTCACTTTGATGTATAAGTTGCAGGACTGACAAATGTATGCAAAAAATAAAAAATAAAAAACTGCGACTTATACACCGGAAAATATAGTAATCAATTTTTAGCTTCTCAAAACATGGTTTGATTAATGCTACATGTTTACTTTGTTTATTTTGTATTTCGGAAGATTTGTGAGCATTGTAAAATTTGTGTCACTGTAACGGTCCTCAAAGACATCAGACACCGTTTTTTCTTATTTTGCCTAGTGTGTAAAAGTACACAGTGCCTGCATACACAACTGGCAGGCGTGACACACACAGACCTCCATCTTCGTCTCAGTTCTTGAGCTGAAGGGATTTACTCCACAGCTGACAGGGCCAACAACAATAATGAATGTTGGTTGGTTGGCTGTTGGTATGTAATCCCAAGTGTACACAATCATCAGTGTGTATTTCTCACACAAAGATTTAGTTGCAGCTGTTTTTAAAATCACGCAAGTGAAACCACATTTTATCTTTTCTCGTTTATTTCTTTCAGTTATGTGTTGTGGCGTGCAATGCTGCTGATGTTTTTATGGAAACTGTGTGTGAAAAGGAAAAATACGGTCTCTCGATAAGTGTTTTAGATGGTGAGAGGTCCTGATGTGCTCTGCATTAGACTCCTCTGTTCTGTACTTTGCTGTATCTGCAGGGCTAGTTTTGCTGAGTCAGAGCGAGCGAGTGATGAGTAAGCGCTTCTATTTCTGCTCAACGCTGCCTCTCTCTGGCAGACTGCGTGCAGTGAAGGACTGCCTGAGTGAATGCAGGAAGCTTTTATCATAAACATCTGTAATCATATCTCAGTTTTCCTACACTGCAGTTTCCTTAACCGATTAATGCATGAATTGTTTCTTAGTCATTGTGGTGGCAATGGGTTGAAGTTTTACTCTGTGATTATGTATTATGGTCAAATATAGATTGCTCTTTGTTTTCTAGACACATCCTCCGTTCTCTAACTCTGTGCAGATGTTTTCTGAGTTGCTCCTACTGTTTTTCTGGTCTCTTTATCCCTCTTGTGGGAATGTTTTCACATTTAGCTGCTTGCCTCCAATGGTGTGTGCAAGTCGTAGACACGAGGAAGTGATTTTCTAGACATTTGTAGTTTATGGAAAAATCATGTGCAATACAAGTAATTTAATATACTACATATACATATTCAAAGAAAAGCCTGAGTCATTTTGAAACTTTAGTAACACGATATACTTAATGAGGTCTTTCTTCTTTTCCTCAGAAAAACTCTACAACTCAACGGGACGGGAGCTTCGGAGAGCCCTCTTTTCTCTGAAGCAGATTTTTCAGGTATTTCTTTTTTCAGGGCTTCTGCTGGCCTTTTAAGAACATTGTGTTTGTCTTTTTTGCAGCCATTCATATGCACACAATAACAAGCAAAAGATATATATGGGGTGTGAAAACATTCATCAGTTCACACTCACGCTTGGACACACCACTGTTTTCCTAAGGCCGAGTTTTTTTATGCTCAAAGTCTGCCGTCGTGGCAGCTGTGCAGTTCTCAGGTCTGGTCATGGTTTGGAAACAAAAGCAACAGACACTGATGAAAGCCCAAAATAGATCAGATTGCCTCCTATTTTTACACTGAGTGCCTCTGTAAGGTATTGGTAATAAGGAATATTAATAGTTCTTATGCAGTTGTCTCTACATTTCAGAAATGATGTGCACAAGTTTTAAAACTGTTGCCCTGTCTGTTCCTTTAGTGCGCTTCTGTATATTTAGCCTTTCTGCCAAATGACTGCAGCATCCCTGATATATGGAAAAGATGTCTGGAAGCACTTAGACTTCCTCCTGAGACACGAGAAGCCCTGACCACCCCACAGTGTTTATTGCCGCTTTCCTCCCTATCCCATCTGAACAGTAGAATGAATAAGAAAATGTTCAGTCCTGCAGAAAACCTGGCGCTGGCTCTTAAATTACACAGCCACCGACAGGTGTGAGACACAGGTGGTTTTGCCATCAGTGAAAATATGTGGGATGAAGCTGAGAGTGGAAAGCAACACGGGTTAAATCCATGGCGTTTGTCAAGTCTACAGAAAATAACTATTGCTTTTACAAAAACAACTTATTTTCAGGTTTGCATATTATTTCTGTCAGAGTTGAGTCTCCCTCTTTAAAAAAAACATTAAAACGTGTTTGGTTTGACAAATTTACCCGTGGGCTGTGCATTATAAGACCTATATCAGGTAAAAACAAACGCCTGATGGAACATTAAGGCCTGCAACGTGAACGTAGCCTAATATCGAAGAAAACACTAATGTGGTAGTACCGACTGTCACGAATTAAACAGAAAACAATATGCAGTGCTGTCTGCATTAATCAATTACACTAGTCCCTCATTTATCACAGGAGATCCGTACCCTGAAGACCCGCGATAAGTGAAAAACCGCAAAGTAGGAATTGTAGTACAAGTAGCAAGTAGTTTATTTTTATATATTTTAAACCCTTCCCACACTCTTGCAATATTCTAAACTCTAAACGCTTTAAAAGAGCACAGAATGTTGTGATTTCAGCTCCTAGCCTGAGCTGCTCTCAGCCTCCTGCAAGTGCTCTTGGTCACGCCCACTTCTCCGCTCTGCACAGAGATCAGCTGATCAGCTGCAACAGGAAGTTTATCCTGCAGTAAGGGCTGCACACAGGTGCAGGAGGTGCTAAATAATTTGAAATAATTTATTTGACATTAAAATTCCATGCTGATCGTGCGACTCATCCATCAATCAGCCAATCGTGTGTCAGGTCCAATCTTATTTTGAAAAACCGCGATAGAGCGAGTCCGCGATAAACGAACTGCGAAGTAGCAAGGGACTACTGTAAACTAAAATAATTATTGTATTTCTTTTTTATAGGATGACAAAGATTTGGTGCATGAATTTGTGGTAGCTGAAGGACTGACGTGTCTGATAAAAGTTGGAGCTGAAGCAGACCAGAACTACCAGAATTACATCCTCAGGGGTACGTATGCTGCAGAACAGCACCTCATCTTGAGGACGTTTCCAATATTTTTTCGATCAACTCATCTACAGTCATGTGTTCATGTAAACTATGTAAAATGAAAATTCTACTTGATCTATTACCCCCATACCCCCGCACCCCACACACACACGTACGGGTTCTTAAAGCTTATAAACAGAATCCTGTGTGTGCTACAGATAATGTGAAAGTTAGGCCAAATGTAGCAGCTGGTTAATTTATGGCCCCCATGAGGTGAAAGGTCATTTGTGTTGAGGTTGAAGGGGGGCCATGGACACCCTGTCGATGGAAGACCACATATCCCACTCTAAAGTCACTACCATTTAGCAGCCTGCTGTGAAAATGCAGCTCGCACATGCTTAACTGTCTAATAAAGCTCTGTCCGGATATTACAGACCATAAAACTAATTTTCTCTTCATTCTAATTTTTTTCATTATAATTTATTGCAATTTAATTTTATTAAACTAAGCATTTAAAGTGTGTTTTACTAGTTTTTTGTTAAGGATATACAAATACATAAATCCTGACCTTGGATTCGACATTTAAAGTAAAACATTGCCACGTTTCAAATACCTGTCATAGTTAAAGTAAGTTTCTTTCAGCTGCTCCCTTTTTCAGGGGTCACCACTGCGAGCGAACTCGCATGAAAGATTTGGCAACTTGTTTTACGCCGGATGCCCTTCCTGAAGTAACCTGGGCTCAAACTCGCAACCTCGGGATTACAAGACCGCAGCACTGACCACCGAGCTACCGCAGCCCCAAATACCTTTCATAGTCTGGTTGACCTTTCAGTTAGAAATATTTCACAACCTGCTCATCTTTGACCTTTTCTCTGATTTAAACACAAAATTCAAAGAGGCAAATGTCTGCCTTTGGTGGCCCCTGGGCAGGTTATAAACATGAACGTGACCCCTCAGCAGGCTGCGATCCTAAATGCTGGAAGCTTCATCCAAATGTTCATCTCAGATAAATCACAAGGCTTAAATGGCCAAAACATGAAGAAGAAAGATGACAGGTGGCTTTGGGAAACCAGAGCTGACCACATGTAAGAGTTGTTAGTGTCATTCTTCCATGAATGATGAGACCACCTCTCATATCTTCACTCTTCCTTATTGACTTCTTTTTTAAACTCATCTTTGAGAAATACGATCCATCATTGCATTTCTGCTCTACTCCTTTTTCTCTTCTTGGGTTAATTTATTGCTTCATCTGATTTTGGAATACAGTTTTCTACTTGTGCTTTGCATCTCTACATCACCGTGAGAAATTAAACCAAACTGCAACTCTCCCAAAAGCACTTGTTTCAACTCCCGACCTAATGTTTTGCCGACAAGCAGAGGAAAGGTGATGCAGAGAAGATCGCCCTCCTTCGTGAGAGACGTGCTGGAGAACACAAGCTGAGTTTGTACTGGAACCCACGTCCACGTGCAGAAATGCATATAGATCTGGCCGCTTTGCTGGTGATGACTTCCAAAAGCAGCTAAATCACAAAGATTCCCAAGAGGAGAGTAAATTGATTGTCTGAAATGTTCACACCTGCTCACGGAGAAAGGAGGGGAAAACGAAGCAACTGTAAAACGTTTGGAATCGAGCACCGATCACTTTTAATGTCATGTTGTTTCTGCTCTGTCTTCCAAGTTGAGCCCAGTCAAAAGAAATGGTGAGAAGTAAAGAAAATGTATCCTGAACCTGTCTGGTGTGCATTAAAAATCTCTCAACTAAACAATCTCGCTCTCTTTCATATTCCATCAGTCTGCAGCATCTTTTATAGTTGAGAGGTACCATCAGCCGTGCACATCCCTCTATAAGCGTTTATAACCTTTAGGTATGAGGAAGATGGTCTTTGTTTCTTTCTTTTTTGCCTCATTTTTGTGTTTTGTCTTTTCAAAGCCCTGGAGGTGTCTGTGGCCAGTTAGAGCTGCTGCAGCCCCCTTTCATGGCCCCTCACACCTGGTTTGGAAAGCTTCCAGACCTGGGTTTTAGCTTTTGTAGACCTGCACTTTGTTGGCCCAGGGGAAAGCTTGTGCACCTTTATCTCCCCATTAGAGGGAAAGGTGTGAGGCCACCATCTCAGAGGTGCCAACACAATCTGGTTCTTCTAGCTGCAAACAAAGAAAAGTGTTTTTTTTTGTAATAGGAAGACTATGCTAATTTTTGTTAAACAACTTTCCAATCCATAAATAAAATGAAACAAATTAAATCAAAGGCAACCAGACTCATTTTGTGATTGTTAAAGATGGTTTGATTCTCAACAAAGGAACTCTTCTCAAGTTCTCTGTTCCTCAGCTGAAAAAAATTATTCAAAAAATATTTAAATGTCTTTAAGTTTAACAAAGAAAAGGGTAATACTTTACAATAAGGTACACAAAGTTTGATTAACTAATAGGAAACGCCTCAGGAATGAATCAGGAGCTAATGTGTAGTTAACCAGTACTTACTGGGGAACACACAGCCAAGCCTTATTAAGGGACTACTGGTTAGTTAACTTGTAAATGAAGAGGAACTAATCAAAAATGAATGGGTAGTTACCAAGAAAACCAAAAAGGAACAAATCAGGAGCTAATGGGTAACCAGTACTTACTGGGGAACACAGTCAAGCAAAGTACACAGAAACAGTAGGTAATGGTCAGGTAGTGATTAAATAATGATTGGTTACTCAGTAAGTACTCAGCATGATGCTTCACTACATCAGTGAACAAAATAATAGCCAGGCAATGATTTGGTACTCATTAAGTGATAATCAGACATATCCAACAATTTTCAGTCAGGTCATCTGGACATTTTCTTTTTTTTTTTTCTGAAACATTTCACCTTCCATCCAGAAGGCTTCATCAGTCAAGGAAACGCACAACACAAAACTGATTCTTTCCCCAAACAGCTTACTCCAAAGTGGAACAAACCAGTTATGTTGGTGCTAAGATGGTGTCTTTGGCACGCCCCCTCCTTTGGTGCCGGCCCTCTTCCTCGTCGACAGTCATGTCAGACTGATTCAAAACCATGGATGGAAGGTGAAACGTTCCAGAAAAAAAAATCTGTCCAGATGACCTGACTGAACATTGTTGGATTTTATTCCTGGATTATTGCGCATGAACTTTGGTGGTATGACAGTTGAGGATTTTTAATAAATCAAATGATAAAAGAAGTAAAAAAAAGGTTGTGTCACTGATGCAACAAGTTCATGAGAAAAACCCAAACTTCTGTCTTCCCACGTTCCCAGCACCTCCTGAGGGATCCCAAGGTGTTCCCAGACCACAAAGAATATATACCAGTAATCATTCCATAGAGCTTTGTGTCCACCCAGTGGAATGTGTGTGTCTCCAGAAGGAGGAACCCCAGGATCAGAAGCCTGAACCACCTCAGCTGACATCTTTCAATGAGTAGTTCTTCCTGAAGACCTTGATTTCTAAGGCTGAGCCAGACCACGCGTACAGGAAAAGTTCATTTCAGCCACTTGTGTCTTGAATCTTGTTCTTTCAGTCATGATCCATACTCCATGACATTGGTGACAGTTGGACAATACACACAATAGTACATTGAGATTATTGCCATGCCGCTCAGCTCCTCGATCCATCAATCCATCTCCTGCTCCATTGTGAACAAAACTCCCAAATGCTTGAACCCTACTGTTGAGAAAGAGGTGTACCCTTGATCCGGAGGGATATTTCTACAATTTTCTGGTTGCATTTTAGCTGGTGTCCATTTTTACAAAGGCTTCTGTGCAGATTTGTTGTACCCCTTTATGCAAAAATACAAAATTAACAATGCTGGCAGAGTAACACGTGGTTCACAGCACAGTAAGTGCTTTAAAAAAAGCAGTTTGTGAAAAAAAGTCAAGTAGGTTTTTGCAATAAACTTGTTTTTTTGTTGTTGTTTTTTTTTTACAGCAGTTAGAAATAAGGATATTTTATAGTGCTAATTACCATGAGCCAAACAAGAAGATGAGTTGAGAGAACAAATCACAAGGTTTCTTCCTGAATCTTTGTTTCATTTGAAGTGTTTATAATAAGAACTCTAACAAAAGTAACAGCAGTGTTTGATCGGTGCTGTAAAACCAGGAGCGTCTGACAAAGAGGGCAGATTAAAGATGCCAGTTTCAGTCAACTTGAACTAATGACTCTCCTCTTTGAAAAGCTCACTGTTGACATTCCTCACCATGAGCTCTGGTTTAGCCACACTTTCTCTCTGTACACTTCTAAAGCTCATTTCGCTTTGCATGCTTTTGTTGACGAAACACTCACCATCTTTAAGCCACAGTGGAAACAAATTTAGAGCGAAGTTCTCGCTTTTGATCTATGGAAACACTAATCTTAGACTCATCTTTTAAAAAACGTGTTCATAAACATTTTCATACCAAGAAGGCGACGTCTCATCTTATGCTGCTTTTTCCTTGGTGTGCATAGAATTACACGCTATAACTTAGAAACTTGGCAAATTTATAGCACTTACAGATAGGATTTGTGTTGTCCAGTTCCAGAAAGATTACGGTGAGAAGTAAGTTATGGCCATATATCATTTTATCCTTTCATCTTCTTCTGTCTTCCTCTTTCCTTTGCGTCGTGTATGTCTCTCTCTCTTCCTGCCATTTTGTTATCCTGTTTCTTTTTTTCCCCTCTCTTTTTAGATTTAGGTTCTGTGGAAAGAATATGAATGGTTAATATCTTACCTGTTGCAGACATTTTTTTAATCAACCTCAGTCAAAATGTAGTGGTCCCTTGTTTATCACAGGGTTTACGGGATCACGCCCCCGGCGATAAGTGAAAAACCATGAAATAGGGATACAGTAGTTCAAGTTTCACTTCCAGTCTCTTTCCTTCTGTGTAAATAAACAATTTAAATTTAAATACTGTAATATTTTACAAAAAATAATTCAACATTTACATTTAAATTGTAGAGGAGAAGCGCAGCAGGATAGGCAGCACTGCAGCATGGAGCATAAATGTACTTCTTGATCAATTACACTGTAAATGAATATAGACATTCT